TGGCGCGGCGTGACACGAGCTCATCTCGGACGCGAAGAAGCGAGAACGGGATTCTCGGGATAGGAGAGGAGAGCGCGAAAGCGTTAGCGCGCTCACGAGCACGCACACCGTGGCTGAAAAGCCAAGGGAGAATGCCGCGTTTCTCCCTTTCCGCCATCTCCGCGGGAGTACGGGTCGTTTCAAAATGTCCGCACTCGTCGCGAGTGGCTGTTTTCGCGAGAGAATGGAACACGGTTTTCCGAGCGAGTGGCGTTCTCCAAGAGAAAAGAGAAAGAAAATAAAAAGAAAGGGAGCCTCCTCTTGTTTTCCGCTCCTCGGGACTTTCGGAAACGCTCGTCCCTCTTCCTCCAGCGGAATTCCCGATGGCCGAGAGTCGCTCGAGACACCCTGTACGTCGCGAGCGTAGCCACGCACACAGCTCAGCATCCAGCTATAGAAGCGGAACTAATTGCGCTGTATTTAATTAAGCCGCGGATTATTTCCTTAACGAGGGCAGATCTCTATTCTTCCTTCCTACCACTTCAGCGGCAGGCTTCGCTTCCATCTTTTACAATTTTCCATCTCTACCCTGCGTTCACGGCTGGGAGAGCAGGTCTCGAAGATCCACGGCTCCACCTCTCGTTCGACAACCTCCCGGGTTTTGTTGCCCTCCTCTCTCTCTTTTTTCTCTCTTTCCCATTACCCTCTGTCTCCGGCATCGCTACACACCAGCGTTCGCCGCTATCGTCGCCATCGGTGTCGCCACCGTCGCTACCACTGCAGACACCCTTCCGCGGGCAAAAACCACCCACGCATTCCAGCACGCGTGACGTTCCATTCCAGCGTTCCCTGATTTTTTACCCAAACGACACGCGTCCGTGTGCACGCGATGGGACGTTTCTCATCCGTTCGCCAAGACGAATCGTTGCATCGCATGTGACCAACCGCCTTCCGCGAACCGATCGATCGACAACGTTCCTCTCCGAGCGATCATCTCTTCCTCTCCGAGCAGCTCACGCGTCCATTTCGATCGCGTGCAAATGAAGCCACGAGAGCACTTGGAACGTTAAAAAATGCACGAACTTTTTGCTCGACGTCCACCAGAAACGCCAATCCCAACCGATCATCGTGCTTACAACCTTTCGCGATGCAAACAGATTTTTCTATCGTTCGCCCGGAATTACGAACGTCGTCCTCGACCGGCCTAATGGAAAATTGCGCTTATCGTAAATACCTCCTTCTCCTCGTTTAATACCCGCTTACAATGCCGCGATCCAATTTGCGCAGCGAGTTACACCTCGGCAGGCTTTTGTCACCCACTCCGACTCTTTCATAGTTCTCGTTTTACCAGACCGTAAACCGCTATAAACCGACGCGGTACGTCTCGCTGGACGCTTTTCAACTCTCGCCGAAACTTCCGCCGAGCCTCGTACACGCGACCGCGGACGCATCGAAGCCCGCACAGCCGTCGTGTTTCCGCGTCCCGGTGACGTTTACGGTTGCAAATAAAACAGCGAGCAAAACGACACGCGGCAATCGAAGAGACCGATATTCGCGTGCCGGGAATCTGTTGCCAGAGATTCGTTAACCACTCGCGCTCGCAAGAAATTTAGAGACACGAGTGCCGGAACGGTGCAGCGTTTCCGTGACAATTGTTCGGGGACGCGTGTACCTCGTTGTTGGCGATTCTACGACGAAAGCGTTACGACGCGCGTGGCACGTCTTTCCAGCGCAAGTAGTTAAACTCTCGCGTATCCGACGCGCCGTTCTTTGGCTAATGCATCCGCGTCCTCTGGTGCTTTCGTTTCGTCGTTTCTTCGAACGCGAAGGATAGAGGGATAGAACGGTTGGATTTTTGGTAAGCAGAGGAGTGCGTTGATCGATCGATCGCGCGAGCGCAGGGAAATTCCGCTTCCGGTTTGGGGGAAGGAGCGGAGGTCGGAGAACAAGGATACGCGTATCGGCGCGGAGTATCATCGGCGATAGGAGGGCAGGCAGCAGGATATGAAAGAAAGGGAAATGACCGATAAAAAGGTAGGTGGAGGTAGCAGGGGCGGCGGAAGGACGCCGGTTACGAGGGAAAATCCAGTGGACGGACGCAATCTAGGAACTCTTGGGAACCAATCTCCTCTGATGAAAATACCTTGCTCAAAGCGGACGGTTTTCCAGCCGGGCCAATTTCTTCCGTGACTCTTTTTTGGAATATCGCGTGCTACCGGGCCACCGACGACCGTCCAGCCGTTTAGCTGCACCCTCGAAAATTTTACGCGCTCCGCGTTCAGCGTTACGCGCAGCCAAGGTACGTCCAAAGACGTCGCCTCGTATTTATTACTCGCGCGCAAAAATGCGGCGAGCCGAACGGATAAAGATCGAGCAATTCCCCGTTAGCCCGGAGCTCTTTCTGGAATCTGCACTGCGACATTTATGCCATTCTCACCCCTAGCTCGCATTTTCTTGCCTCTCTCCATCGTTACCCCTTCTTCCTCCATCTTTCTATCTATCTCCATCTCGCCGTCCTGCTCTTTCTCTCTCCGCCTCCTTCGCTACATTACTCGCGCCGGTTCGCTTTCTAACCTTCAATCGATGGGTTAGGAACGGAAGAAGGTACGGGATTGCCGCGAAAGATGGATTCCGGTATCGAAGGATCGGCGCCAGGATTTTCCAGGTTATATTCCTGCCGCGAGCTATACGGGATATCCCGAGATTCGAAGGTACTCCACTAGCGACTGCTTTGAAGAGCACCCATGAAAGTTACACCTTCGTATTTTGTGGACTTTATGATCGAGCGTCGTCGTCACGCACACTCGCGGGTTATCCTCCGTTCGTGAAACCCCGTCCGGTTCATGTACAGAATTTATTTCCAGAATTATCGTCCCTCTTCCCCTTCCACCCTGCCACCCCTGCCTCGTCCCCATCCTCGCGCTTTGTGTTCCCAAATGTTTGGCCCCGTATCGACCAGTCGGCACTGGCCTAACACCAGCGAAATCGTCAAACGACCGAGCGTTTCGATACCCCGAGACGCCTTCGTGGACGATTCTCCGAGTCTCGGCAGTCTTTAACTCGCGATCACGTTTCCAGGATTAAAGGAAAAAGCGTAAACAGCAGAGATTGCCAGCAAGATCCGCGTGGCCAACGATAGAGCTACGGAGCTGTCTAGAGCGGAGCCGGAGCAAGGGCCGCGCGCGTCTTCGATTGGCTCATGAATTTTTCAACAGTCGCCATTTGTTTGATCAGACTTAGAGCCCGCTGAGAACTGCACTTTTCACTCGACGTCGAGAGTAACGGGGCGACGCGCGAGTCTGCTAAGTAGAGCATGTGTTTGTCCGTGTACCATGGAAATGCGAATACGTTCCGGAGCAGAGGAGGAAGAAGAACGACGTTAATTCTCTGGCTGCAATCTTGCGCCCTATCCCCGATCGATTCTGTCATCGGAGCACGTATATCACTGCCTGGCTACCTTACGTATCGGCTTATCGCGTGCTGGATATCGGTAGCCGCGTTGTTCCACTTTCCCCGAACTTGCCGTTCTTAAATTTCTAATATACGCTTCTCGGAGTAGCAGAACACCCTGCAAACTCCGCAGTTACCGTGTCCTTCGTACATATCTTCCCACTCGTCCATCGAATATTCGTTTACGCCAAACTTTCAAACTCCTTTCCCAGCGTCGTTCCTCTTGCCCCCCTCTCCTCGATGTCGCTCCCTCTTCCCATTATCTTCGTCGCCATTCTTTTCTTCTCCCCGCTCGAATTATTTCCTTTGACACCTGCTCCTCGTTTCCTCCTCGCTGCGATTCTACTCTCTCATCCGCGTTCATATACAAGGGGTAGGTTCTTGCCTCCGGCGAGTGATCCGGGGTTGACTATTCTGGATGGCGTAACTGGAACCGGAAGTCTGGTAACGATACGGTAATCCGTGGAAACGATTTCGGAGAAAGTGACCACCGGACGGACCTGGTCCACGCTAGGTATACGCTCGAACAAGAAGTTTGCCAGTTTGCAGCAGCCTCGAAGCACTCTGGTACTCGTAGAAATCCAGGCGGTAAGAATTAATTAGATCAGCCGCGAAAAACCCGCTTCCATTCGTAGCTGCAGTGATCCTTGACGAGCGAAGCTTAACCCGGAACAGTGGCTGGTTACGGGCAAACACAGCCTACTCTTGCACACGCGTCGAGTAATCTTCCATAAGGCATATAAGTGTCCATAGGATTACGTATACGTTCATCCTGCATAAGCCCTATCGATTTCAAATTCAGACCCGTACCCCTGATCTCGCCGGTATCAAAGAGACAATTAATAAATTAACAAACCGGTCAGGCACCAAGGATTACACGTTAGAGGACGCTAAGCAGCGGATCGATAGAAGACCGTGGAGATAAAGGTCCAAAATCACGGTTAAGCCCGCGTGTCCCTTGGTCTAAGTATAGTCCTTAGCGAAAAGATATTGCAATTGCCTCTCCGAGCCCGCAGTCTCGACTCCCTCTCCGTTCTTCGTAATTCGATAAACGAGTATCTAAACGAATACGACACTTTCCGTGCTTTGCATATCGTTAACTTTCCCAGTCGATGATCAAGCGTGCATACGGAGAGCGAAGGAGTGTGGAAATTACGCCCGAGTCTCGAACCAGTACCGGGGTCCTAGGCGGCGCTAGTGATACAGCCCAGGCTATACTGCGCCGGCGCACTCGGCGCTCCGCGGAGAACGAAGAAACGAGCCTTTTTTTCCCTCAAAACGTAATCGCAGTGTTCATCGACTTTTTCCCGTCACGCGGCTCTTTCGTCTCTAATACGTCGTTCGAGGGTCCTTTTCAACGAGCCGCTAAATTTGTTTGACACCAGAAATTACGCCGCGCCTTTCACGGCCTCGCAAAGGCGCCGCTTTGATCTTGATCAAACTCTTTCGCCGCTTTTAGGCGATGGAAACGCGCGCGCGACATTTCGGTCATCCGCTAGCGTATGCATAAATTCTCGCTGGCCCCGGTGGAGAGACGGGCAAGTTGGCGATTTAAATAACAGAGGGCTTACCGATGACGGTGAGGTTGTAACGAAAGCTGCGGGTTTGCCCCTTCCGGAAGTCGACTCTGCACCTGTAGGTGGCCGCGTCGTGCCTCTTGATGTCCTCGATCACGAGCACCGCCGGACTCGGGAATGCCGTGCGAAAGTACGCCCGTGGCCCGAACACCCCGGAATCCGAGGAGTGTTGCGCTTTGGTCACTGGCTTCTCTCGTGCATCGATCCTGCAACATGCAAAAAAGGATCCCCGGAGATCAATAACGGGTGCAGCCAGTTCGTTTAGCGTTCGACCGATATAATCACCGTTGCTTCGAACAATGAAAACCGTGCGTTGCCGAGCCGGAATCGGACAATGAAATTTATCGAAACAACGTAACTGGTTAACGTGATATAAATGTAATTCGCCATTTATCGAGGCTCGATGGCGACGGGAACGGGAGCGGGAGCGGGAGCGGTAGCGGGGGGGCCAGACGGGGGGTATTGTAATGCACGGTAAGTAGCTGGAGCGTTTGAAAATATAATAATTGTTATTAGACGCGTATATCGGCTCGTAATCAGTCGCGATCAATGGCGCGCCAGCGTTCCGCGATATTCCGCGAATTCATACGCGATTTTCGGATCACGGCGAAAATAATTCGACTTTAATCCGGGATCGTTTGTTATCGGAGACAGGAGAGAGGGGCGAAAGCTTTAATCGAGCCCTGAACTCCGTTTCGCCTTCTCACCGGGAGGGCAGGGTCGTCGATAGGGGCACGTTTGATGGAAAGCAGGAACGGCGGTGCGAGGGCGAACGAAAAGAGATACTCGATATATATGTACCATTGTTCGCATTCCCAGAGACTTTCGGCCGTGGAAACCGTGGAAACCGTGGAAACTTCTTGCCCGGCCGCTTTGTCTTTGTCCATCCCCGGTTCTCCATCCTCCCTATCCCATTTCCCAGCTGGCCGTCTCGTTTTTTCTTCTCTGGGACGCGCTCGACTTGCACGCGGAATGCCAAGAATTCGCGGAACGGCCTGCGGTATTCGATATGTATGTAGGAAACGATCGCAATTTCCGGCCAATGAAATTCGAGTGGAGCGTAGAGGTTTCATTGTAAGGGGCTGGCACACAGAGACACAGGGAGAGAGAGAGGGAAAG